TATATGCTTCATCTACACATCTTCAAAAGCGTATTAACTCAAAATTTCACAAATTACATATTTCGCGCTAACACATCGTACATACATACGAATGCCTACGATTTATGCTAGATACGTAGGTAAATAGCTGGTGCTGTTATGGACAAAGGTAAGTGAACTCTTCAGAAGTAGTCACTTCATATTTCAATGACTTCCATTTTCATGGTAAAAAAAAATATATTTTTATTAACAATTTTTATACCTTTTCGCTTTATTAGTTATTCAATACTTGTTGTACGTGTTTGCAAATTAACTTTTCGCCGGCCGGTATTTTGCTAACGTTCAAACTCTTGACTGTTTGGACATTGTTTTATCGCAACTGGCCTAAAAAGGTATACCTTGTATTTAAGTATGCATGTCATTGTAAGCTTTGACTTCTCTTTGCTATGTTTAACTTCAACTATTTAACGAGTGTCCATTTTTGGCGAAGTTCAAGAATGTTTATTTTTATGGCATAGTTAGTATATAAAAAATGTGGCCTCACGACAAACTTGAAACTGTTGAATGCTTTAAAATATCTCCAATAAAAATTGTTAAAATCTTAACTTGAAAAATAAAAAAGAAATTTGTGTTTTTTGAGTTTTATGCCACTACTGGTTTTTCCCCACTCGCTTCGCTGAGTGTTTGAATATATTGCGTATTACATTAGAAGTAATTTATTTTATTAAAACTCAAAATAATTGAATCCATTCAAACAAATAGCAAACATTTTGAATTTTTCCAGCCCCCACAAAATATTTTTCAACCGCAACCTTCTTAAAGCTCTTTCATCTGGCACCCATATTGTTATACATATATTTATCACCTGATTCGCTTGATCTAAGTTGAATTCAAAATTTAAAACAGGTGGCAACCTTCCTACAAGTAGTTTAGGAATGAAGGCTTTTCAAGAAAATTTTGACTGATACACATACTGTAATGTTCATTTAACATATTAAATAATTTGAATTTAATTATGTTTGGAAATAGGTGGCAACTTTTTAAACCTAAAAACACTCTAAATGTTCTAAATGTTTGACACCCACATTTTATTTAACCTGGGTATAATTAAAATTAATTTCGTATTTTCAAACAGGTGGCAACTCTTTTCGAAATATTTTTAAACTACGCACAACCTTCTCAGACCTATTTCTTCTGACACTCATTTTTTTATACAAATTTCAACTACTCGGTTCCTCTAATTCAACTTGAATTTGACTTTCAAAATAGGTGGCAACTCTCCTATATGTTTGTTAGAAATTAAGCCTTTTCAAAACCATTTCGATTTCGAACTTAATTAAATTGAATTGAATTCATCTTAACGGGCACGTAGGTTTCGATAATCCGCCTACGTAACATAGAGTCTATCGATTGCCAACTTTATTTTATTTATTATTATTATACTGATTTAATCGAATTTAATTATGCAAACAGCTGGCAAAATTTTGGAAAGTGAGCTTTCTTAAATGTCTTTTGTTTGACACCCATATTGTAATATCTCTTTTATTTAATCAAGCCCTCTTTAGAAAAATAATTTTTAAAATCAGTTCTCTTCAATACGTTGCCACTAGACAGACGTAACGTGGCAACTCTTTCTAACGTTAGCAATGAACCTTCTCCTCGTTGAGGATTTTCAAGCTGCCGCACAGTGTAAGATTTGACCCATCTAGCTGCTTTTAATTCTGTCATTCGAAAACTATTGAAGATAGATTAATGAAGTTTTGCACAGGGTACGTTATAAGATAGGCGAAGCTTTTTACAAAAAATTGGTAATTTATAGTTACTGTCACGCCACCCTATTATATAACTGCAATTTTAAAAAATGCAAAAACTGAAATATTTAACTAATTACAAACGCTAAAATGCCTAAAATTTATATTTAGAATTTCCCTATAACAGGACTGACAAACTGACAGAAATGGACTTAAAAATAAATATATTTTTTTTTTAATTATTGGCGTGGAAAATATCGACAAAAAAGTCAAGTTGGGTCAACATAATTCCGTTATAAGTTCAATATTTCTTGCTCTATTTACAAAAATGGGATACCATTGGAAATGTAATGAATCAGGCTTCATCTATTCAAAGCAAAAATACAAGAATTTGTCTCGACCGAGATAAAATGCAAATGAATTACTCGAAGAAAATGAAATTCCCAGTAGGCCAGAAAAAGAAAATTTCATCAAAACCTGCACTTTCCAGCAGCCAAAAATTGTGTTGTTTCAAGTCTAAGAGGAGTGGCAAATAAACTGAGATATAAACTTTATCGAATAGTGGCGGATAACGAGTTTTCGGGTCTAATAAAAATAATAGTTTGCTAAAAATAAGTCTAAGTCAACATCGTTTTACTTTAACTGAAATACTCAGTCCTAGTTTACTAAATTCCCAAAAATGCATATTCATTAAAAGGATCATACCTAAAAAAAATAAGACCAAAATGATATTTTAGCAATTGTTGCATAAATCACATAACACCGACAAATTAAACATTGAGATTCAGTTTTAAATATACAAGTTTAAATATTATTGCCCTCAGTAATTTTCCAAATCAAACCCCGTCCCGCCATACACTTTGATTTAAATTTTTTAGTTGTTATTGTTTCATCTTTATCAGGCATTTCTAAAAAAATTCTTGACGTTGTTTTGAAATTTGGCGACATAAAATAATGTAATTAATCTTTTCTAGAATATGGAAATGATACACTGTGTGCCGGCTTGAAAATAGTATTCATTAAGAATGCCAAGATTTAGGCCCTGTTTTCTATCCTCATCATTGTTTTGAGCATTAAGCCTTTAATTTTTGATAGAGTAATGAATTTATTTTCTGTTAGATAAGGAGCGCAGCTACTTTGATTTAAATTTCTGGACTTACATATGAACATATGAGTATTCTTGAAAGTAAAATATATACCATATTTTGAGCCAATTTCACCAGAAAGTATGAACGTACCTGAAAAGACAGTAATTAAATTTATTATTAAAAAGGCGATTATGGAATTATTATATCAATAAATAATACATTTAAAAATATCTCGGCTATTGGTGAACTAGATTCAGAGGTAAATATTATCTAAACACATCTTTAGTTACCCCCTAGATACGGTAAAATATTTCGAAACAAAAAACATCAAATACATAACGTCGTTTAAAGTGCAAAACCGCGTATCAGCAAAATGCAAAACCGCGTATGTGAAGTTGTAGAATATATTTTCTAGAGCGTAAAAACACTCATATTTCGACGTGGTTCTCTTTTTTATAAAGTAATCGCATTTCTGGCTAGTATATTTCAGGACGAATGGATAATGATTGAGCCAAGAGCATGTGTGAGCAAATCCAGTTTTTGGCAGCCAATGTCAGTTACGCGGTTTTGCAGAATGACGATACGCGGTTTTGTACTTTAAACGACGATAAATAATTCCCCTCATTCTTGCAATAATAAAGAACCGTCTCGTCGTTTAAGAAATCAGAGTAGTTAAAAATATTTTTGAAACAAACGATTTGGTTCATCCAAAGCGGACCATAAATACGGGTTCTGCAAATATTTCGACTTCACTTTCATGTAAGTATTTTATACATCTCAAGGTGGTCCTTAAAAATATCTGCACTATGGGGCATATCTTTATTTTGTCAATTTTGGGAGGGTTTGAACAATTAAAAATTTTTTTACATCACAAAAAAAAATACAAAATTTTTACTAGCTATAACTCAGCGAGTTAATGAATTTATACGAATAAGTTTCAATAATGTTCCAAATTTATCGTAGTTCAAGCGCGAATTTTGCCGAATTTGTACGATAAAAAGATTCACATTCTGGTAGCGACCACTAAAAATTTATTGAAAGTTTGACATTTTTTGTGGATATCTCTATTTTGTGCGTACAGCAAAATATATGGGTGCCCCATATGGTTAAAATATACCAGGTGTAGTAATTAGAGCGAGAAGAAACATTTTATACTATTTTATTTCACAATTTACCATTAAGAACTTCTATAAGATAGTCGAATGTTAAGAAAATTAAGAAAATAAAGCGAGAAAGCTGTTTTATTACTTCACCTATTTACAATTTTACCCTATACAAAATTTATCTGCCTTATCCTGAGTTTCGCCCGAAAAAAAAATTTACCCGAAAATTTGTATTCCGCTCATAGTAAATACACGGAAACAAAAAGTGAATAGTGAGCCGGTTTAGGGAAAATGAAACTGAATGATAAGCCTGTATATGTTGTTATTACAAGAACTACCCTAATACGTATTATAAATATAACCCAATCAAATAATAGATGCAGATTTTCGACATATATCGACCCCGCGCCTTCTATCGACTATATTCTTTGTGGAAATATGAGCCAAATCAAATATCTCCACTCCTGTGCCACCTAATTAATTCACCTTCAGCTTTATCATGAGTTTCATCTTACCCGAGCCGGTTCACGATTCACTTTTTGTTTCCGCGTATTTGCTATGGGCGGATGAGAACTTTTCAGGTAAATCTTTTTTAAGGCGAAACTTGGGATAAGGCTGATTGCCTTGTTGTCGAGTACTAAATTTACTTAGAAATATTATAAAAAATTATAAAACGCCAATTTCACACAATCAAAAATAAAAAGTTAATCAAAAATTGAAAGTCAGGAAAACCCCATTCCTCGCATATCAGAAAATTCTGATATTTTCGTTTCGCCAAATACAATGTCCACTTTAACAAAAGACATCGACCAGCCGAAGTTTGACCAGAGCACCTACCTTGGACGTTACAAACACTTCTTTCTGCTCACCAATCCACTCAACTTGCTGGCGAGCAGCACCGAATTGGAACGTGCACACCGCATAGTCAAAAATTATCGCGCCGGCAAAGATGTATCCAGCGAGGTGAGCACGCTGCACGAGCTCTGGCATGCCAAGTATATCTACGATTCAGCCTTTCATCCGGAAACGGGCGAGAAGTCACCGCTCATCGGTCGTATGTCAGCACAAATGCCAATGAATACAATCATTACAGGCTGCATGCTGGACGTGTGTCAAGTTAGCACTACACTTTTCGAAATTGGAAAAGTTAACTACGGCATTAATTGTAGTGTTTTTGTTGTAAATTTGTTGTGGAAAGAAAAAATTTGTAGCTTTCGTTTTTTAAGAAAAAATGGTATGTAGTGCTAACTTGACACCATACACCTAGTCGATAGAATTGAGATATCCAATATGTTACTATGCCATTAATTGTAGCTTTTAACTTTAAAATTTGTTGTGGAAAGAAAAAATTTGTAGCTTTCGTTTTTCTGGAAAAAATTGAGTTGACCCTTTTTCGAACAAAATCTAGTATGTAGTGCTAACTTGACACCATGCACCATTGACGACAGAATTGAGATATTGAAAATGTTACAACGGCATTAATTGTAGCTTTTAGCTTTAAAATTTGTTGTGGAAAGAAAAAATTTGTAGCTCTCGTTTTTTAAGAAAAAATGGTATGTAGTGCTTGACACCTAGCTACAATTTTTTTCTTTTCACAACAAATTTACAACAAAAAAGCTACAATTAATGCCGTTGTAACATTTTCAATATCTCAATTCTGTCGTCAATGGTGGATGGTGTCAAGTTAGCACTACATACTAGATTTTGTTCGAAAAAGGGTCAACTCAATTTTTTCCAGAAAAACATAACCTATTCCGTTAACAAGGCTTTCAAGATCCATAAATTAAAGATAGATGGCTCCGCCGGCCTGGAAATGTCATTGGAAAGCATACCGATGTGCTAGCTCAGAAAGTATTCGGCATAGTTCTCGCTGGTCGTAGCGCAGAAGAGAAACGACTTGCGTGCTTAGTTGAATTGGGCCAAGAAGCAGAGACATCACGTTACCTACTCAATTTAAATTAAATAAATTACCATGCTCTCAAATAAGAGGGACTTTATGAGTGAACTTCCCCTTTACAAAAGCAGCTTCGCAACACAAATGGCATACGAAAGTGACAGTATATTAAAGCCCAATTTGAGTGAAGCCGTTGAAAGCCCAGAGCCAAAGCGAAAAAAAGTAAATGCGTAATTTTGTTAGTTCGCAAACTGTCACAGGCGATAAAAATTCGCTTTAACTGACAAGGAAGCATAAAAAATTACAAAGAAACAGAAAAAATATCACGAAAGCAAAAGCAAACAAATAAGGCAAACGAACCCACAAAAAAAGTGTCTTAACTTTGAGGACTTAAAACAAACAATTCCCTACGCGCACGCGCAATTAATCAAAGGCTCAAGTGTAGCACAAGCGGGAGATAAAATAAAAAAGGGCAACTTGGCAAGCAATGAAAAAATGTCTTCCCCCCCAAAAAAAATACCCAGAGAAATGCAAATTGTTACAAAATTTTCGCACTTTTGCCGTCACCACTGCTGGCGTTGCTGTTGTCGTTGTTGCGACTCCGACTTAAGCCACTTGATAGCACGTTGCATCCACGCCTGTGGCACGCCTTCCAATACACTCTAAAAAAAAAATTGTGTAGATTTCCTAGCTTAAAGGTAGGTTACTGATTTCCTACCTTATTATTCGCAAAATTTCATGCTCGATTATTCAGCGAATAGTTTGTTTGAATTTCGGACTTTTTAGATTGTAATATAGCTACTGTGGTGTGCGTAAATTTACTAAGAAAGTGTGTAAAACTACAAAATACACTCCGCTGTTTGATTTCGCCCGTAGAATTATGTAAAGCCGCTAGCAAAAAGGATTTTTACACACGAAAATGTGTAAACGAGAAAAATACATATTCATCGTATAAATTTACCAAAAAATTTAAAAAATAAACAAAAATACACCCGATTTTTAGTCGCATTTTTAAACAGATTTTTTAGAGTGTATATAGTGCGCTCGTGTGGCATGCATTGCACGCGTGCGTAAAGTTCGTGCAACGGAGCAGTATGGCGACGCTTAATCCACCGCCAACTCAAAATGTGGTCCAGCATGTTTGTATGTAAATGACGCACATGTTTTTTCCTCTGTTTCAAGGGTGTTTGGATGGGTTTTGCGTGATGCGGGATGGATGCGAACTTGTGACAGCAATTTTTTTTTTTAGTGTCTTATGCACATTTTTTGTGTGCTAATTTTTGTAACGACTTTTCTGATGTATTTTTTATAGTTTTCCTTTGCTTGTTTCATATCCAATTCTACGCTTTGTGCTGCTTGTACACATGCATCCAGTCGGCAAAATAGGAAGAAAAAAAATCTTACACGAGCCCTTCTTTTTGATCTTTTGAAGCGACGAGGCTTGAAGAGTTACGAGGCTTTCCTTGAAAGAGGAAAATTTCCGTAAATTTAAAATGACATGCCTGTGGCGACTTTTTTCTTTATTTGATTTCCATTTCTGCTCATCTGCCTTCAAATTGCTGAACTATTTAAAGACCTTCAGATACAGCTTCCGAAGAGAAGGTCTTATCCAAGAAGTATATTTGCAGGCATTTGTATATAAGTGTATTAATTTTACCCACTGTGTGCATATCTCTTTTTAGTTGTTACTGTAATTTTTTTTCTTTTTTTGCAACTGTGCGTATGTTTTGGCTTCTTTTTTGCTATTTTGTTTATCTTTTTATAGGCAAAGAGTTTATCTTTTTATAGGCAAAGAGTTTATCTTTTTATAGGCAAAGAAATCTTGTGTTTATAGACACATATACATATACAGTGGTCGAAAAAATTATAACCGCACCACTTTTGAGAGTTTTTTTTTTTATATACATTAAGAGATATACATATTTCATTTTTTAACAAAAACTGTCTATATGCAATTTTCAAACTTAGATATTCCAAAATTTAACAAACAAAATTCAAAAACAAAATTTCGTAAAAATTTCGAGTTTTTTATTAGATCTTTTAGACAGATTTTGCAGGTTAAAGTGCAAGTTTCAAATAGCTAAAAATTACCGTTGATTTTTTAGAATTATTTTGGTCGAAGATGTAAAAAAATAAATATTTGTTATTAGTTA